TTTCTTATTGTGTTTCAAGACACGCCTTAAATATGTAGTGCTGCTAGAATTTGTCTTAGCGTTTTATCAAATTTGTGATGGGCCACTTTGGTTTTCAAGTTGCCCTTCAATGAATATAAGATCAAATATGGACCTCTTGGAAACAACGGCTTTCGCCTGCTTACAGGGACCAGTCCACAGTAGGAACAAAATAGTTAATCACCCCATGAAGAATATAGAAGTAATAAGCTGCCGAATGTCAAGAATTAAAAATGGCTTGACTAAAACATACAATCACTAGTTCTGACGTTTTAGTTTGATATGAATTTTGAAGAAATGTTACAGAAATTCACAAAGAATTAAACAATTTGAATATTATTGTGGTGAGTACTATTAATTGTAAAACGAGCTTTTTTTCAGAGTTGAATTGGGATGATTCTTTCTTTACTCTAGAGTCATTTTCACATTTTTTTTCTGTTATCTGCACCTGTATCAGCAGCTGCAAGCAGTAATTCTTTCAAATCAATGCAGATAATCGATTAAATGAAAATTGATTTACATCCCAAAGATAATTGAACAGTCACTGATCTTAAGTTCTTCTTACTAGGCTCTGTTAGGAATATATGATTGCAAGATAATAAAAGGCTTAGCTATTCTTCTTCAAAGGTTATAGCTCAGATAAATCTATGAGTTCTTAGCTTTTCTAGATTATGTGGTCATCAACCCTTAGCCACACTAGCTCACCAGTTCTTGCTATGAACTGATCACAGCGATTGAGACATATGTTCGATTCTTTTCCTCTGCCATAGTTTCCTATAACTGCAGCTACTTTTTTTGCTGGGCGTCGCCATTTTGGCATCCCTCGCTAGTAATTTGAATACTGGAAAAGGAGACAATTGTCTCGAAACATGCTGAATTCAAGTCATCGACATTAACCCTCGTCATTTCAAAGTTTCCAAAAATTTTTAAAAACAGTTTCACAATTTGGAACTGATAAGTTATGTTCAGCACATTAAAATCATCTAGAATAGGTTCTTAAAAGACCTAAGAACGAAAACTTACTTCGAAACATTTTCAGGCATCTTTGCCTTGCCTATGCCTATGTGTTGATGAACGGAGACATTTCATTAATGTGAATCGGCACACGCTCAGATGCGATATGAACGAATTTTATTGCAAAACAATTTCTCAGAAGTCGCATAATATTGTGAAAAATTAATCTGTAAATATGTAACATATCAGCGCCCAAAATTATCTCTCTAAAAGATTTTGGCGATATTTGAAGTAATTTTCTGAATCATTTTAAAGAGCCAGCAAGGGCCTACCAAATAAGATTCAGATTGAGGAAACCTAAAGTCAGAATTCCTTGTGAGAAGTGCAGCACTTCAATGGACGACATACGAGAATGGCCATTTCATATATTTAGACATAATAGTACCTCGTGACTCTATACTTTTGCTTCCAGTTAAAAACATTATTATTTAAAGTTAGCTATACTCGTCATAGCAACAGTGTATGTACGAAAAGAAGATTCTTGCAAAAGAAGAATCTACAACAAATGTAAAGTTTCTGCGTAAAGAAATAGAGTGCAGTTGGCAGCCACCATAAACTTTTGAACCCATTTAAATCATCAAAAGCGAGACCACGAGGGTTGGGAAGAAAATACCAAGAATTCTCTAGCCATCTGACAACGTAATTGATCTGAATAAATTTCGATAATTTTGTGCTGTTAAATTGCAATTTTTTATAGTATTTTCTGAATGCAGTGCATAACGAAATGTTCGAAAGGGAAATAATAGAATTCCTGCATGTAAATTTATGTACAAAAGTTTCCGTTTCATTATAGCCATAAGAGCAGAAGGCAGAAGAACTTTCATTCATTCGATTTTGGTGTAATAAAAGTTGTAAAGAAGGTTAGAAGTGTCACATTTGCAGCTTGGATTTTGCTTTATGGATTTTTGAATAGGAAAGATGCCATTAGGAATGCCTGAACAATTTCCAGGATCGTTTCCTTGCTTTACATGTTAAGGTATTTAGTTGCCCACACAATAAATGTACCTATACTATATCTTTGTGTTCAGGCATCAAGAAGTGAAATAAATCTGCTTTTGTTTCAAAATGTCAAACATCCACAGTAGAATAGTTTAAAAACTATAAAATATTATTTTTGATAACGAATCAGTAGCGTATGTGATAAGTGGGGATATCTCATTTGCTGGAATAGATTTAAGGTGAGGAAAAAATTGAAAAAAGATACTTAGCGAAGTCTGAACGGGCTAATTCATGCTGAAGCATTAGACGCTGTTAATGAAATATGCACATA